AGGTTGCCAATATTAAAAATTTTAATTAATTAAATTAAAAAATTATTAAAAACTTTTATTTTTGCTACCAAGCGTGTATCAAAAATTATATGGATACGGATTATGTTCATTATTCAAAATAAATTTAAACGGTGCCACTAATATAATCTAATTTCCTTGCATACGCAATAATTTAATGTGGTCTAATAAATGCACCAAAACAGTCGCACCAATTAGGATTTATTACACGAAAGAAGGAAACACGCAAAAAGTTTACACGAGTTTCCTGGTTTTCATTATATATTATCAGGCTTAACGGCGACAAATAGCTGTCAAAAATCAAAATAACGCTGTGGATATTTAAAAAAATTTGCTTTATTTATTCCTGCCTTGTATTTCTGACTTGTGCAACATATTTATTTTGTCCCTTATATGGATGAACGACATTTATTAAACCTATTAATCTCTAATAATTGTAAATAATTTATTATAATTAATAACCTACTGACGAATAACAAATTGTATTGACAAAGCACGCCAAGGATTAAAATTGTTAAAGTTAGGTTCGTCGTTGTTGTTCTCTGCTGTTTATTTTACTCTACTTACATTATAGTACAAATTTTTTTGAACGTGGTTTTATGGGTAACTGATAAAACATTAAAGATATATTCAGTACCATAATGGCCCGAAGTTACCCAAATTAAAAAGGCAAATAAAAGCGCATATACTTCGCATAGTAGAGGTTTAAAATTCTTATCCCAGTGAAAATATAGCCACTTTGTATATACTTAACTTAAATTGATATTAATATTGTATATTAATATTGATATTAATAGGTAAAGAAGCTGACGTTTCAAAAGTGGCACTTTAAGCACGCTTGCACTAGTCTTGTGAACAGATCTGAGTGGTGTTTTGGTTGGTTTTGATTAGTTTTGTTTAATTTTGTTAGTTTTTTGCTAAAAAATTGATTTAAATAGCGAATAAAAAAATCTTTGATTTATTCATTAGCTATCTGAATCAATGTTTCTAGAAAAAACGAACAACAACTAAGTAAAATCCTGAAATTCAAGCCTTTTCACTAGTCAAGTCCAACGCGATGGGTGTATAACTGGGTATTCTAGAGTAGAGAATGGAAAAATATTTAAAAACCTAGGGCCCAGGTCTTTTCTTGTAGTATTTAAGAAGGAACATTGTCGCTTAACTGCTTACAAAATTTACAAATCGTCACGTCCTAAAGAGATTCGCACTTAATTTGTCGAGTCTAGACGAACAAAATTTCCCGCTCTTCGTCACCCGCGCAACCTAAAATACTGGACTATAAATATTTCACACATTCCTAAAAGTTTCAGGAAGTATTTACAACGATTTATCCGCATATATGTCCCGCGATACGCGCTTTAGCGCGGTTATAAATACGCAGTCAAAATAGAACGGCCCGGTGTAGCAGCAACGTAAAAAGAAATGCTAAAACCTCTAGGTTTATTGCTCCCTCTCGCAGCTCGAAAGATATATTTTATAACTTTTTTGGATGCGTTTTTATCTAGGGGAAAGACGGACTTAACGGGCAATTGCGGATTGCTCATGGCATAGGTATAACGAGAACTGCTAATCATACAAAAATTACTTCTGGGGAACTTTATTTCAACCACCTTTTATGATTGCGGATTCCCTTTCAAAAAAACCCACATGGAGAGTCGCAAATAACCTCAAAAATCCAAGCAACCTCCTAAACTTATATCCTGAAAATCCCTAGTTGCCTGCCCTCTGGCGTTACACCTTAAAATTAACAAAAATAATGCAATAAAGGTTTAGACGTGTGCACGCTAGATGGAGCTATTCAAAAATTAGTTTAAAATTGATACTACAACACAGGGTAAGCTGCAAAGAGTATAAGGCTCCCATTAGTGGCAATATTAAAAAGCGTACACGAGTGTCAACTCCTCTGTTGATTGTGTCCAGTCATGAAAATTTAAAGCGCGCTGGACCTACGGTTCAATTCGATTTAAAATTTGAAAGGTAAAATGTGAAAAAAAAATTATGTCTTAATAGTTTTAAACATTTTTTTTATTAAAATATAAATAAAGTGCTGTTATCCGTTACAAGTTATTGTAGTATTTGTGACGCGTTACTTTAAACCGCGATGACAGTACTTTAGTAGTTGGACACAAATATTAGATGGTGTTGGTAAGCTGGCAATACCCCGTTCCTATCGCAACGCCATCTCTGATTCTAAGCGTCATGACGTGATGACGAATATAATTTTTTTTTTACTTAGCACCCTAAAATACCAAAGTGTACACTGCTCAGGCGTGTGTTTTTGGTACTTTAATCACTGGTTAGGAGCATTAGGACGTTATCGGTAGATTTAAAACGCTGATGATGGTTTGACGTTAGTCACTAAATCACTAAATGTATTAGTGCTATTTTGCAAAAAATTACAAAAAACTAATGGCCGTAGAAAAAGTATATCATACCAACACGTTGAAAGACTTCTTAAGTCACTCAAAACTTGTTGCTCTGTTCAAACCAAGGTAAGTCATGATTGTGCTTGGTAATTATGTAAGAAAATATAGTTTCGCTTCTAAATTCAAGTAGATTAAGGTTAAAATCCATTTTTTTGTTCTAGTTTTCACAGCTAGACTGAAATGGGGAAGGAATTGTCTAACATCTAAAGTTGATGGTTATTTATTTATTTACTCCTGTCCAACAAAGGAAAACACAAAAGGTCACAAAAAAAAGATACTTTGTCAGTGGACCAGTTTAAATTATTTTTTACGAGCTATTACTATCAGTATTATTGATTTTTGACAACTGCAAACGCTTTACAAGTATAAACCTAAAATCAGACACAAGATAAATTTGTGTGCCTGCCTTTTAAAAAATAATATCAGAGGCTGTTTTATGGGTGACACCTTATAAAAATTCAATATTAGTAGTGTTTGTATTATGTTACATGGATTGCATTTTGTGTTATTATCCATTGAAGCTACTATGTTGTTTTCATTTACAAAATTTAAATTAAAATCGTAAGAGGGCAACTATATACATAGTGTTGGGGCAATTGACCATTTCTTAACAATTAACAATGGAGCACTTCTTAATTGACTACTTAGAATCATCGTCAATATCGTTAAATTACTCACAATTTGTAACATATGCTTGATTTAAAAACGTCACATTTTCTTCTGATCTTTATGTACATGGGAAACTTGATAAACATAAATAAATACTCCATATATGTCAAAGTCCTTGGTTCAAATTGCAGCTATTTCTTATTCGGCAACTTGAAAATCATTGCTGCCTGCTTGCCTTGTTTCGGTAATTTACAGGTTGCATTTACAGACCTCGGCTTAGTTTAGAAAAACTTGAACTCTAAGGTCCTCCGACATTTTTTCTTGCGTCTTCTTTATTGTGAACCTACGTTACTTTCGGGATGGCTGTTCATTATCTTGCATGTTTTTAAGTTTATAATATAATGATTCGCGCACATTCCTCCGCAAGTATTGTGTTTTATTTATTTAGTTGTTAAATTGCTCAAAATATATTCTCTACGTCCAGATGGTGTTTAAATACAGGCTTTTCAGAGTTGGTCAATAAAAAATATAGAAAAAGCTATCAAAACTATAATTTTGCTAAAGGTGAAATTGGATATTATCTATGTATGCTTAAGCGTTAGGTGAAAAACAAAGATCTCAGAACAACAGTTGTGCTGTTCTGACCTCCACCCGCTCCACCCGCTTGTGAGAAAATATCATAAAAGCAGAACCTCATAGCCTTCATAAAAAGAAAGGTGCTGAACACAAGACAGAGAAAACTTGCGAAAAAACTGCGAACAAAGACAAAATAAAAAAAGACCTTAAACCTTCAAGTGACAGCGAAGATAGCGAAAATGTTTTCTGGTCGATTACATATCAGTTATACCTGCGACAGGCACCCATTTCATGTGCTGTAATAGACTATTATACTTCGACCAGAAGTATAGCGCTTTTACAACCGATCCCGTGATTAACTTTGCCTACTGTTTATTACTACAAAACCGCAGCCCCTTATAGAAAACCCTGTCTAGCCTACACCTACCCGTAACCATTCCAATACCGCCCTATCAATTTATCTACCTACACTAGCAAGCGGGATTTAAGTATGTTTCCAATCTCTTTCGCCAAGCAATCCTTGAAACATGTATATAAAAAAATTAGTACAAAGTAACAATTTATTACTTTCTATTTCATTACATTTCTACATAGTATCATTATTAATATACAAAATATTAAATATAATAATAATAAAGAATCAGTCACTTAATGACTCGTTACTATCGCTACCGTTAGTTCAATGATCAACTCCGCTACTAATAGTTCTCGATAAATATTTTCTTCTTTTATTACTTGCATTTATGGTACTATCACTAAATTTTGGTGCAGTGTTATTTCTTCTTATACGCGCTTCCACCTCAGGCCAAATCATCTCAATCGGGTTAAATATACAATGATACCAAGGGTAATCTTAAGATTTCATGTTCGTTTTTATTGTGCTATCCAATCGATTTTGTAGTCTTTATTAAAATGTTTTGTTTTTAATAATTGTAGAAGTTGTTATTTCGTGCAGCTCTCTTCAAAATATAAATCATTCTCGTATAGAAATTCTTTAATTTCTTCTTTATTTAAAGAAGTATTTGGAATTTTCGTAATTTGGGCTGAATGATACGAGACGTTATCGAATAACAGTATTTGGCGATAATTAATAAAATATTTCCGCGGTCATGTTTTCATGGTAATCCACACTTGAATCGTTGGCAGACAAAAATAAGGCTCTTCCACCCAACTTAATGCAGAATAAACATATGTTGGGATAGGTTTCACCACGGTCCTACGAAGTCCGGCGGTTAAGGTACTGAAAAATACTAAAATCGTCAAAGCGGTAATTGCACTATATTTTTGGTCGTATTATTCTGTCTCGTATATCTTGTTCTATGGCCATACATTCTTGAAAAATTGGTTGACACATATTTTTCTATTCCGCAGGTGGCTAGTGTTATTATCGACAACGCTATGGACGCATCTTACAACTTCGTATGCAGACGATTCCTTTGCGTTACCTCCATCGTTCGCAGACAGTCCTGTACTAGGAGGTAAGTACCTACAACATAGGTACAACACAACAAGCACAGCACAGCGCCATGTTCCCAGCAGGTGTGTTTATATTTGGATAAACTTCATATTTAACCTAGAAAAGCATCCTAATTCCGCGCGGTTTGTTTTGACAATGGCGTATCTCCGATTTAATCAGTCTAAGAAAACACCACTGAGCCAGGCGATATTCAGATTCGTTTAATTTGCATATAACCGGGTAAAGCAATTGTTATTACAGTGTTAATTGAATATATATTTTACCGGGGCCGAATAGAACGTTGATGTCTCTTAAATTTACCCCCACGATTTAGAGGATAACACCAGTATGCAGGTTCGAAAATACCTCTTTTATCTTTTACCTTATTTTTAATATCGCTAACAAAACCAATAAAGAGTAACTGCAGTTTGCAGGTTCTAAACCTTCCTTTAATTTTAATAATAAATAATAATAAAATCAAAACTGGGCAGCACCAGTTTTTGCAGACTCTAAAATATTTCTTTATTTTTTATATCGCCGACCAAACTAAAATATAATCAGTCAACATATTCAACATTTATTTTTGACGACAATTGACGACTTCTTAATTGACCCGTCAATTGACCGACAATGGACCACTTCCTAATTGACTAGTTAAAATCGATAAAAATGTTTTAAATAACAATTTTCGAGTGATATTATTTATTTATGTACAAACAAGTCTTTCCTCCAGACAGACGCAGCTGTCTAATAAAAGGCAAGCGCAAAATGCCACATAAATAAGATACTTTGGCAATGGAGTAGTTTAAATTATTAAATTATTAGAAGCTAAATCTAATTAAGCTTTTTTTGACAGTATGTTAATTGGTATACCGTCTTAAGTGTCGTTTAAAGGCTTCAGAGCTCAGAGCAAGTCAATATCCGGAAACGCGTTCTCTACTTTGTTATAAGTCCGTGTGCATCTGATTATTAGAGAGTTAGGAGAGTAGTTTCGTATTAGTTATACACAGCATATTCCTACACCGATCTGACAACACTGTAAAAATGTATTATTAAAGATTTTTTATTATTAAACCCATTAGTCACCCGTAAAATAAATCCAAGACTCTTTAGAGCCTTTTGAACAATGTTTCCTACGTGCGTCTCAAAAAGAAGCCCTAATACCAAAGTTCAGTTTGTAGTTACCTAGGTAGAGATCACTTTTAATTTGCAGTTGTGGTAATTTTTTTGTAAACAAAAGATAGTGAAATTTCCCAGGGTTTTAACAAACAATCTGTTCAGAGGACAATATTCCTCAAAATTAATTAATTTACTTTTATTTATTTATTTGTATATTATTATTTAACAATAATATGTATTTTATAATTAAATTAATAAATAATTATGCGTTTGTGATGTTCAATTTACCTAAAACCCCCTTCACCCACTCCCTTTAGTTCTGAGAAGGACCCGATGGCGATGTAACGCACAATATATATAAATAAACATATAAATAAACATACATATCATTGAATTTTTAAATTTTTTATTTTAGTCAATTCCACAACCCTATATATACATGTATTAAGTTTCAACAGAATTCGTAAAAACATGCCAGAAATATAAATAAAAATTTTAAGTAAACTTTTACGCCCGTGAAATTGAAAAATGTAATAAAAGTCCCAGATTTATACACAGAAAAACAGTGTGAACAACCCTTTAATGTTTTTTTGTCGTTATTTATTATTTTATCTACTTGTTCTATAACGAAAGTACTTGGTTTTGTTTCGTCGACAATACACATTGGATAAATTACCATTTTACATCATAGTCAAGCAGGCACTCTAGACGATCAATCCGACATTAGCGAAACAATGGGGCTCGGTGTCGTAGAGAACTTCACGATGCGGCGGAGCGTGCAGCGGTTAAAAAATCATCAATCTTGCAGTGCGTCCAATTATGTCAATAAATTTACTGTGTAATCCCGGTCATTAAGAAAGTCAGAGTTTGATTGTTTCTTTCATGTAGATAAATGAGCGTAGGAAAGCAATGCTACATGGTGAATATTTTCGTACTTCATTACCTCAAATCCCTTTCTAAAAAAGAACACGAATGATAGAGACCTAGCAAAGATTAGATAATAAAATCGAGAAATGCGAGGAATATATCTTGGAACAGTACTAGAAATAATAGACGTTCTTTCGAAATTTCGAAAAGACAAGTAACAAGAAAGAAAGTAGATATCAAAGAAACAACCATAGAAGACCTAAGGAAAAAACAATTAATATATGCCAGAGGCAAGACTGCCAAAGATAGTATTAATATGTGTCGTCATTGAACAGAGGAAGGGAAGCAGATTAAGAATGACGTGCGTCAAAGGTGTCAGGAAAGCTGAGCCAGAAAATTTTCCCAGATGCAGATTGCCAAAATTGTTTGCAATGGCGCAAGAGTCTGGAAGTCGGCATAACGGTCATACTATATACAGTTGCCGATATTTTTACTAAAGATTTCAAATGGTATTTGCCAACTAAGAAACTAACCAAATTGAACAATTTTCATTGCTTACGTTACTTATGGCAATACGTGGTTTCCGTTTTCTGAAATATTTATTTAGCAATCAACACTTTATCAAAACCATATGAAAGCGAAGCCAAAAAGTACATTAACAAAATTATGAGTGAGCAATGTCAATTTCAAAAAACTTAAAAAAAAAATAGTTTGCGGAATAAAAACTATAAACAATAAAAACTTCGTTATAGACACTGTATTTTCAACTGGGACAAACAACAGTTCTTTTGATTATTTTACCCTTGATTGAAATAAAAATTAGTTGTTAACCAATTTTTGCTCTTTTGTATTCTGATAATACGAGCCCTAACAAGTAAATGTTCGGACAATGTAAAAAATGATAAAAAAGACATTTTTATATCTATTTTAATTTTTTTTTTGCTTTGTCGATTGGATAATCAATTTACGCACATTACGGTATCACAGAAAGTGCTATCGTAATGAATTACTTTTTATTTCGCATGAATTACATAGCAAAATAACGGAAACATACCAAATTTGCTGACAAATAAAAATTCGGACGCGAATGTTTATTGACCAAGAAATCAATGCTACGCATTGATGGTAAAATGTAGTGTGCTTAGATAAATTAAATGTCAGTTCGGGTTGTATCTTTCAAGTTTGTATAATAGTTGATAAGAATATGACACGTGGTGTTTCAACAAATAAAAAAGTGCTAGAAATTATCATATCTCAGTGCTGCAGAGGTAAATCAATGCAAAAAATTTCCAATGACTTGAGTATTGAGAAATCAACAGTCGGCGATATTATAAAAAAGTATGGAGAGACAGCTAGTGTTAGCGTTCGTGGTAAAAGTTCAGGCCGATCCCGTAAAATCACTGAAAGAGATCGTCGTATTCTGGTCAAGATTTCCAAAACTAGCAGATAAAGCGTCTTACGACAAATTCAAGCCCAATGGAATCACGAGGCAAACTTAAATGTCTCCAGGGAATGTTGTAGACAATGGATGCATAAGTCTGGTTTGAGTTTTTATAAGGTAAGTTTACAATTTTTCCTGTTTCAATATAAAAATTATTAATATTCTATGATCTACTTTTGTTAAAGGCAAAGGAAAAACCATTATTAACGTCTATTCAGAAGAAAAAACGTTTGGATTGGGCAAAATCTAAAATATCCTGGACAACGGAAACGTGGAGTAACGTTATCTTCAGCGACGAATCAAATGTGTGATGTGTGTAGGCGATTTTCGTAAAGGGGTGATTTGTACAAAATCAGAAGCCTTTCACAAAGATTGTCTAAAGCACACGGTAAAATTTCCTCAGGATGTTATGATATGGGGGTGTATGAATGGTAAAGGGGTTGGCAACTACGAGTTCATTGATGGTACTGTAAATGCAGAAAGATACCAACAAATTTTATCAAGAAGTTTGATTCCATCAATAGAATGAACTTTTGGAAATGAAAATTTTATATTTCAATAAGACTGCGAAACAACAAAAAAGTGGTATGGGAACCATAATATGAAAATTTTATCGTGGCCATCAAGTAGCCCCGACTTGAATATTATTGAAACTTTATGGCATCGGATGAAAGAGACTTTGCGTAACAATCCTCAGCGTACAGTTCCAGCATTAAAGGCAAAAATCACCGAAATTTGAAACACTTTCACCCCCGAATATTGCAAGACTTTGGGGTAGATTCCATACCAAAACGCATAAAAGTTGTTCTGGCCGCGAAAGGTGATGTTACTTCTTATTAATGTTTGATTTAAAGTAAAAGATTTAAATGCGTCCGAATATTTATTTGTCAGCAAATTCGGTATAGTTTTGATATTTTGTTATGTAATTTATGTGAAATAAAAAAATAATTGATTACGATAGCACTTTTTTATTTAAAAATAAGTGCGTGATTTCATTTTCCAATCGAAAATGCAAAAAAAATGAATTTAAAATAAATTATGTGATAGAATATGCTGATGAAATGCTAGCTTCAGTATTCTAAGTATTTGCGACGCGACGCTTGCATAAAAACTTTATATATATGAGAACTTTGTACTTTGTGTTCAGTTCTCCTTGTAACGGGTTAAATAAAACCTCGTAGTTCTGTTTGTAAAACAAAAAGGTGTTTTTTAAAAACGAGATCCTTCGTTCGAAAACCTTAACTGGCGCAGTCGTGACGGATTTGGGGTAGTTTTCGCTCAAAGCCACGTCATCGGGACGATTTGATCGCGAAATGTGGGTTTCACCCATAGAACCAGTGATAGACTGTCTGACAAACCCAACGTGATTGAGTTCGACTGAGGGCAAGGAAGGCAAGAAATCACCCTTGCAAGCAGTTCTACGCAAGGAAAATTCCAATAGGAAGAATAGGCTGACGACTAAGAGAAATCAAGGTTAGTGCCCAAAATTCCTATTGTTCTCCTTTCATCTTCCCTGGTTAGAACGGTGGAAATAATTTTAGGATTCTTAGTTTTAAGTTCAATTTTAAGAAATTTCAAAATCAATTAAATTTATG